GCGCGTATGTTACAGGGCCTCTGACTCCACCCTCTAGTCTCCCCAAGCAGTTCTTTCACAGGTGTGCACCACACAGATGTACACACATGTTTGAAAACAAACATAACACCTTTCACAAAATTTTATTGAACATGTTACAACTTAGTTTCTGCTTTTGTTGATCGTATGTTTATCATCTCGTCGGAACCCTCTTCAGCTTTGCTGTTAACACTGACACACACCTGAAGGTGTCCTTTCCGTGGAAGTTTTAAATTATAGCTCACTGCAGACTTCATGGGACTCATTGCACTGCCTAAGTTCTTAGATTAGAGAAAAGTTTATTTCATTTTACTTAAAACATTTTCCTTAGCAGGGCATAGTGGCCCACGCCTTTAATCCCAGCACTGGGGAGGCAGAGGCAGGCGGATCGCATGAGTTTGAGGCCAGCCTGGTCTCCATAGAGGGTTCCAGGACAGCCAGGGCTACACAGAGAGATCATGTTTCAAAATTTTAAAAACTAATTAATTAATTAAAAACTAAGACACTTTCCTTCCCCCGCCCTGCTTCCCCCAGAGACAGGGTTTCTCTGTGTAGCCCTGACTGTCCTGGCACTCGCTCTGTAGACCAGGCTGGTCTCCAATTCAGAGATTAGCCTGCCTCTGCCTCCTGAGTACTAGGGTTAAAGGTGTGCGCCATCACCACCCAGAAAATATTTCCCCTTTTAGAATTGTTTTAATTATATTTTTATGTGTTAAGGTATTTTGCCTGCATATGTGACTGGTGCCCTCAATGGTTGGTTGACAGCCACCCTGTTTGTACTGGGAATTACACCCAAGTCCTCTGGAAAAGCAACAAGTGCTCTTAACGGCTGAGCCGTCCCTCCGGCCCATAGAGATTTTCAATACGAAACAGCATCAGAACGAATGATATTGCTCCCTTTTCCTTTTCTCTCTCTCTTTTTTTTTTTCTTTTTCCTCTTTTTGTCTGAACTTGGTTGCTTTGCCTCAACCTCCGGCCTCAGAATGAAGCTAGTGTGCTAACAGGTTCTGTTCAGGAACCCTGACTCTCACTAGCAGAGACAAACTTCTGTACCTAAGCGATGTGCCCATACTCTGTAGAGTGAGCTCTCCTGCTTTAAGAGCGGGAGTCACCTGTCCATACACAGGTGAGTCTTGAAGGCCTGTCCACTGTCTCCAGTGGCAGCCTCCTGGGTCCCTGCCATGACTAGTGCTTACTGGCCAGTTCCGGTTAGTACTGCGTCAAGTTAAGAGATGATGACTGCTTGCTGCTTAGGCCTCTGTAGAGACTCAAGTCTAAATACCTATGCGGCTTTGGTCTCGGTGTCAGACTGCATTTGACTGGACAAGAGTGTAGTTTTTGATTCGTTTCTGGATGCAGGGGAGCACAGCACTTCGACCTATTTATTAACCTTAAGTCATGACGGGTAATATAGAAGTAAAACAATTCTTTTGTTATTGTAAATAGGAAAAGATTATTTATATATATAAAAGAAAAGCTACTTATTTTTGTACTAACTAATCAGTGTGTATCTGAAAGCAAGGCTGGTCCTCTCTGCATTTTTTTTTTAATGTATTGCATGTGCATTGATGTGGGGGTGTCAGATCCCCTGGAACTGGAGTTGCAGACAGTTGTGAGCTGCCGTGTGGTTGCTGGGGATTGAACCTGGGTTCTCTGGAAGAGCAGCCAGTGCTCCTAACCACTGAGCCCTATCTCCAGCCCCTCTGTATTTTTTTAAGGATTTATTTTATCTTTGTTACGAGCATGTGGGGATGTGGGCTGGTGTAGAGATGCCTCGGAATCTATAGAAGGGTGTTGGGACCCCAGAGCTGAAGTTGTAGGACACTGTGAGCCACGTCTCCAGCGCTGGTCCTCTGTGTTTCTAACACGACCTTGTTGAAGGTGGCGCCAGGGGCTGCATCTCGTAGGTGGTGGCTGTCCTCTCCCTGGGCCGTCCTTCCCATCTCTGCCTGTGTTCCTTGGCCAATTATAGTCCAGACGATTGCAGGGGAGCCCAGGCTTCTCTGACTTATCTCTGACTCCATAGCTACTATTTTCAAGTTTTCCCCTCAAAAATGTATCTAAAGCAGTATTTCTGATACTGTGAAAGTATGGTTGAGGCGATATTCCGGTATAAAGAAGGTAGCATGGGCTGTTGCTCCTCCCTGCTGGGGCGGCCTTGGCATCGTTGAGCCGCCTTTAGCTGGTGGCATCTTTGCCTATCTCTGACTTGTTCTCCTTTCCTCACTGTCAGCAACTGAAAAATTCATATTGTTCTAAAAAATATTAGTGACATTGTCATCTAATCTTGCCTGTTGTCTCTGAAAATTTCTCAAATTGAAATGATCTTTTTTTTTTTTGGAAAAAAAATAGCTGCTTGGCATGTTTGTAAATTACACTTAAGTGATGATGAATGTATGCCAAAGTAGGGTCTATTTAGTCACAAAATATGTTTGTTTAAATCAACATTCCAATCAGCTGTGGTCGGCAGGCTTCGATTCTCCCTGTAAGGGAGTACATTTAATATTCTTATTTTCTTAGTGCTACAGGTTGAACCTAGGGATTCATGCGTGCTAAGCAAGCATCATTCTATGGCTGACTGCCATCCGCAGACCTCTTTTTACTTTTTCTTTTGAGGTGGGATCTCCCAAAGTTGCCCAGGCTGGCCTTGAACTCACTCTGTAGCCCAAGCTAGACCTTGACCTTTGAGCCTCCTGCCTCAACCTCCCCAGTAGCCAGACCTAGCATGGCCACCTGCAGCTCACCACTCCAGCTTCTCCGTCCCTGGATGCTGTCCTTTGTGGATGCAGTTGGTTTCTGTTAGAGCGAGAGGAGACACTCAGGTCCAAGATGGCTAGCCCTGTGATGACAGGCCAGCGATCCAGAGACACAGCCAGTGGCCTTCCCCGATAGTGTAAGAAGATTCTATCAGAGTCAGCCTGTCACCACACCCACACCCCCACTCCCAGCCCCCAGGCTCCACTCTGTGGGAGCCACACACACCTGCTCCAGGCTTCACTGCTGAACTCCAGGGCTGTGAAGGTCTGGGCTTCCTGCAGGTTGACTCCTGAGGACACATAGAAAGATGACATCACCTTGGGGGGGGGTTAGTGATTGTCCGGTCTCTTTTGGTTTGTTTGTTTGTTTGTTTGTTTGTTTTGGTTTTTCAAGGCAGGGTTTCTCTGTGTAGCTTTGGAGCCTATCCTAGAATTCACTCTGTAGACCAGGCTGGCCTCGAACTCACAGAGATCCCCCTGCCTCTGCCTCCCGAGTGCTGGGATTAAAGGCGAGCGCCACCATGCCTGGCGGTTCCCCAAGCTCTCACTTCACTCAGCCTCACAGTCTGTAGACCTTCACAAGTGTAGTCGGAAGGTGTTTGGAATTTAGTTTCCTAATGAAACAGACATGTAAATTTATAAACCGGGAGCACCCAGGCTGTAACCATAGCACTTCCCAGTACTCCTCGTACTTGGAGGTGGAGCCAGGAATGTTGAATGTTCAAGACCACCCTTAGCAACACAGTGAGTTGACAGCTTGGGATATATGAGACCTTGTCTCAGAGACAGAGAGAGAGAGAGAGAGAGAGAGAGAGAGAGAGAGAGAGAATTGCCTTTTATTTCTTTCCCTCCCCCCTTCCTGCCTTTCCCCAGATGGGGCCTTGCTCTGTAGCCCTAGCCTTGTGCCACAACTCTCAGCAGATTTTAATTAACTACATTTTATAAAGGCATGTTAGCCTGCAGGGACCTTTTGTGGAGATCAGGTCCCTGGGTGTGTAGCCCCAGCGGCCTCCCAGTACCTTACCTCCTAGAAGCTGCTCAGAGCGTCCTCTTCTCTGACACCAGGCACAGGGATGAGATCTCTGGAGTCTTCTGCCTTCTTGTGTCTTTCAGCAAAAGCCAGGTGGTGCCTCTGTAGGCTTTAGGTGTGACCAGGAGATACCTCTACATGCTTTCAGTGTGACCAGGTGATGCCTTTACATGCTTTCAGTGTGACCAGATGGTGCCTCTACAGGCTTTAGGTATTACTAAAAAGCATGTTTACTCCAGCAAGGATGACTCTGACAGCTGCCTGGCTGGGTCATGCCTTGTGGTGGTCTATGCTGGAATGCAACATTTTTGTTGCCTAGAAATTTTCTTGTGTAGGTGGGGTTATTTTGAAAGATGGCACTTTAATGCCTTGCCTTTAGAAGATTGTCACTAGACGTAGTCTCTCTGCAATCAAGAAGCTTTCCATATGTAGCATGTTCTCAGCACAACTGAAAAGCACACGCCGACTTGCTTTTGCTTTTAATCAGAGTAGAAAGAGTTGTTTTAAAGATGGTGCCTTCTAAGTTCAGACTTGAAGTGCTGGTGAGCCTCTTATTGATTAAATGTGTGTGTGCTTACCCACCTGTTTTTACAGGTATGTGTTTTTACCCACATGCATGTGCACCATGCGTGTGCAGTGCCCTCCGAGTCCTGAAAGGGATGTCAGCTCCCCAGAACTGTAGCTACGGACGTGTGTATTCCTATGTGGGTGTTGGGAATCAAACCAGGGTCCTGGAAAAGCAGCCAGGGCTCTTAACCACTCCAGCACCCCACCCCACCCCCAAACCATTTCTCTTATCCACATAATCCTATAAATTATTTGAAGTGTTCCGTTAGCCCATTAGTTTAGGGGTCATTGTTGAAGCTTGGCACTTCAAGACGAAATGAAATTGGGGCCACCTGTGTCTCCCGCTCTGCCAGACATGGAAGCAGGCTCCTTTTCCCGTGTAGTCTAAGTGGATATGTTATGTAGACTGACCGCAGTGGGAAGGCTGATACCCTGGGGGATCCAGGGGGAGTGAAGACTGGCCTGGGGAAATAATGGCTCAGCCTTTCATTCGTGTCAATCCCCTTAGCAACTGTGGTACAGTCTAAAGTTCATAGTATATCTGAAACTGAGACTCTAAATGGAGGTCGGAAGAACGACAAGGCCCAGGGCAAGAGTTAAGTGAGCCTTAATAGGAGTAAGCTGAATCCCCCAAGTTCCTGTCCTGAGGCGTTCTCTGCCTTGCCAAGCCTTTATTTAACCCCCCACCCCACCCCCCATGCCTTCACAACCCTCCGGTTCCTCTGACCGCGTGGGACTCCTGTCAAACTTCCCTGTAAATTGCAGATCTGGGGACAGAGCAAGCGGCTCTCTGGTCTGCTAAGAATGCTGACAGCCCCGTCAGGCCCGCCAAGCTCACGCTGAAGTTTCAGACTTCAGTGAGGGCGAGGGCGGTGCGGGGATGTGTCTGTCATTCCTTCCCCGCTCATTGTAATTCCATCCCCTCGCCCGCCCGAGGAGCCTTATTGGAACGCAGCAGTAGATGCATGTCATGCTTAGAAAGAAACCTCGAATTTCCTAAACGGAATTTATCTGTAAGTGTCATCACTCGAAGCATGGCGTGTCTTGCCCCCAGACATCCACAGACCTCTGTTGGCCTGCGTTCAGGCTGTATTCTTAGTGCTAAGTTGGAATAAAGATAGGAATCTGAGGGGGCGGCCGCAGAGCAGGGTGCGGGCCTTGCTTCCCGAAGACGGCAGCCGCCAGCTCTGGCTTTCTTTTTAAATTTCAAATAGTCTTCAGGATTACCTCCATGTCATCTGGGTCTTAGCACAGATCAGCAGCCCCCTGCTTATTTTCTTCTCAGTCTTTTGTTCTGTTCTGTTTTTGAGACAGGGTCTTTCTATGCAGTCAGTGCCTGGCTGGCCTGGAACTCCCAGAGAGCCACCTGCCTCTACCTGTCTGAGAGTGCTGGGGTTAAGGGTGTGTAGATAGCCATGCCAGCAACCTCTTCTTTCTTTCTTCCTTTCCTTCTTTCTTTCTTTCTTTCTTTCTTTCTTTCTTTCTTTCTTCTTTCCCTGTTTCTTTCTTTCTGCCCCCCCCCCCTTTCTCCCTTTTTAGTTTTTTGAGACAAGGTTTCTCTATGTAGCCCTGGCTGCCCTGGAACACACTCTGTAGACCAGGCTGGCCTCGAACTCACAGAGACCCCCAACTGCCTCTGCCTAAAGACATGAGCTGCTACTGCCCAGCTCAGCCCTCCTGTTTCTTAACTCAAAGATAAACATGTCTTGGGATGTTCCTAGTGAAAACACCCTCCTTTCGGGGCAGAGGCTGGAGGAGCCCTCCCTAACAGCTCCCAGCTTTCCCTAGAAGGACGGGAGGTGAGTCAGCTACAGGCTCTTATTTTGCCAGACACATCTGTCATCACGTCACCCAAGAAGCTGAAACAAGAGGATGGTGATTTAGAGGCTAGCCTGGGCTACGTGGCAAGACTCAGTGTCAAAATTCAAAAGAAGAAGAAAAAAGACCCTTTCTTTCCTGGGCTGAGGAAGGGAGGGAACTTCCACGTGACGTCTTTCCCATGTTCTCTCTCATGGCTCCTCACAGCCCACAAGGAAACAGTCAGAGCTTGGTAGTCGTTGGAAAGCAAGTTCTTGGGACAGTCTTAGGGTACCCTATATTACATTAGAAAATCAGTTTGTGGGATAGTCTTGGGGTACCCCACACTATTTTAGCTTTGGCTTTGTATATTGTTTTTTTGTTTGTTTGTTTGTTTTTTGTTTTTTTTTTTGTTTTTGTTTTTGTTCTTTATCAGGGTTAAGGAAGAAGAATGCTCCTATGTCAGATAATGTACATCCTCTTAGAGGTGTCTTCCCAACTCTACCTCTATGGTTGCAGGGCTTTCTGCTTCAAATGTCATCCACAGTACTACTGCATTCTGTGTTTCATTTTGTTCTTCTAACCCCACAGAATTGAGTCACGACTTCTCATTACTTTATTATTTCTTTTGCTTTTTTGTGTATGAGTTTCTGCTTGTCTATGAGTGTATATGTGTCTGTATATACATATACACATATGTATGTATATATACATACACACACACACACACACACACACACACATGCATCAGATGCATTCATGGCTTGAGGAAGCCAGAAAAGGGAATATGAAAAGGGAATCCTGTCCCCAGGAATGGGAGTTGCAGTCAGTTGTGAAACACTGAGCAGGCGCTGGGAACTGAACCTCTGTCCCCTGCAAGAGCAGTCAGTGTCCTTAACGAGTGAGCCATCTCTGCAGACACTTCTCATGTCTTACCGGACTCTCAGCGGCCCTTTGAGGTCAAAGAGCTGCTGCAGCCCCTGAGATCTTGTGTTGGCCCTCGCCTCTCTGGGCAGTGGTGGGAGGGTCCCTGCAGACTGCGGGCTCAGGAGCTACCTTCCTGCCTCCTTCAGGACTGTCTTAGCAGTCCATCCATCATCATAAAAGCCCGTCCTTCAAAGTGGAGAGTGAGACGCTCCCCAGCCCTTGCACTAGGGAACAGAAAACACATAGGAAGTGGGCAGAAGGTGAGGCCGTAAGATCCCAAGCCCCAGGCAAGCCTGAGCTACATATCATTCGACTGTGTCAGAATAAGCTGGTTAGAGTCGTTCATGTAAACCCCCCACACACACACACTCTCTCTCTCTTCATACTCCCTCTCAGAGCTGGGGAGATGTCTCCTTGGAAGTTTCAGTGTTGGGGTTGATTCATACTCTGAAACCTTGTAGCTCTAACACACCAAGAAAGGCCGTGTTCGCTGGGAGCATGCAGTTGCTGGCTGGAGTGAAGCTGTGCACGGGACGGACCCTGACCAACCACCCACACTATGAGGACAAAAGCCTGAGAGAGAGGACCCAAGCGGTGAGGCCCGTCTTTGCACGTGCTCGCTTTTCCCTCCCTGTCCTGCAGGCCACGGAGTGCAGAGGGCGGGTCTCCCTGTGCCATGATGAGGTTCTGGCTGCTACAGGCCTCCAGCCTGTAGCTTAGGAAGCAGCCAGAGCATAAGGGCGTGGGGCTGGCGTCTCCTGACTCTGCCTTTTAGGGTGGGTACAGCACGTACTCCCCTTAGGCAGGGAAAGGGCTGAGAGCATAAACACCCGGGAATGTGTGGGAGGCAGCATTTAGGCGGAAGCCCTTGGAGCTTGTGACTTTGGAAGGAACGGAATAGAAGCGGAGACATGCTGGTTATGTCTCATAAACCAGCTGTGGGCCATTTCTGGTGTGTGCATTCGTGTGTGTGTGTGTGTGTGTGTGTGTGTGTGTGTGTGCTGTTGCTGTTTGCTTAAATAGGTAATACAGTCACATAGTTAAAACTTCAGAGCATACAGAAGGGATTGGCCCAAAACATGTTCACCCCATCCCTGTGTCCTAGCTACCCACTGCCTTCCCAGAAGGCAGATAGCATGTGTGTATGTTTGTGTGTGTCTGTGTGTGGGTATGTGCCCTTGAGTGCAGGGCCCACAGAGGCCAGGAGAGGTCATCAGACCCCACTGAAGCCTGCCTGCGGTGAGTTGGTTATGAGCCTCCTGACGTGGATTCCGGCAGCTGAACTCGCGTCCTCTTCATGAACAGTACCTGCTCTTAACCACTGAGCCGTCTCTCCAGCCCTTGCTTCATAATGTTATCAGATTGCTAAAAAGGTTTTCATCTGGCTGAAGCATTAGCAGATTGACCCCATGTGCTAGAAGGACGGAAGGTTCCATTGGGAGTTAGCCAGCCCCACTTAGCCTGCAGAGATGCAGAAAGATAGCTGTGTGCCACCCTCCCGAGAGGTACCAACTGTAAAGCCCTAAAAACCGATGTCCACGGACGCCAGGGCTCCCCTTCTGTCAGGACTCAGATATTCAGTATACTCAGCCGAGGCCTCCTGCCCACCTAAGCGGCCATAGGAGCAAATCACCACCTTACCTGTCCCTGTGGGTACCTCACTGGGCATCAAGCCCTCCCTCACAGCCACGTGTCAGGACTCAGGGCCACACCCTTCACAGCCCTGTGCCATGCCCCAAACTGCCTTCTCCCAGAAGCGTTTGCTCAGGGTGCGTGGTGGTGGACTTGAAGAGGGCAGGGCACCCCCAGGGAGAAGCTGCTGCTGCAGATTCCCTGGGTCTTGGGCCAGCAGGAAACAAACTAACCCCCACAAAGCAGCAGCAAGGCCTGCTCCAGCCAAGGTCAGCAGCCCAAATAGTACCACCAGTCTGCTTGTATTGTTGACTCAGTCGTGCTTAGTAATTCTTAGAATTATCATCTGATAGATATATTCAAAACCTGAAATGATTCGCTCTGAATCCAGGGTGAGTTCTGGATGCATTCGGTGTGACCCCCGTTCCCTCTTCCTATTAAATAATTACAATATCCATTTGGAAATCCCCTATGCTCCCACTCCAGACTGTGATTGACAGGACAAGAGTGGCCCGGGCAGCAAGGGGATTTGAGTGTCAGGTCTTAGCACTGCCCCCTGGGATTGGATGTCCCCTCCCTCCCTCCATTAACTCCCAGGCAATTGAGAGGCAGCGTGCCCTTTTCCGGTTTTGTCTCCTTTTGAAGGTCTATCAGATATACGCGAAAAGGTCCCCAGAGGAAGTGCACTCGCTCCTGAGGTCGTTTGGCACTGACTTTGTGATCCTAGAAGATAGCATCTGCTTTGAACGCAGGCACCAGAGGGGCTGCCGGCTGCGCGATTTGCTGGACGTCGCTAACGGACACGTGAGCTTGTTGCTTCTTCATCTCAGGGAGCTTTCAGAGAGGGTAGAAATCCAGGGCGAATCCCACGTGGTGCACGTCACTTTAGACCACATGTGTGAACCACAGTGTGAGTTTGTAGAAGTCCTGCTTGTTAGTGACAGCAGGGGCTGGGCCAGGGGACAGGGGAAGGGGGAGGTCCAGCCCAGCTGCCGCCTGCCGAGTGACTCGGGAAGAGCACCTCCTCCTGCCTTGGCTGTTTTGGGTGATATAGCACTGCATACATCTTATTTGTAAAGAATATTTTTCTGCTCTGTACAGCACATCTGCCTATAAACACACTGCTCCAAAATGTCCTGTTGGCACGTCTTGAAGTGTCAGGCAGTGGGTCACCCACACATCCTGAGGCACACACACCCTGCTCCCTCTTATCCACCACCCACACACAGCCTCAGGGGAGCTGAGCTTGCCCTCCACAGCAGAGCAAGCTGTGTCTCCCTCAGAGAAAGGGAAATTCCCTTGGAGCTGAGCCAGGTCAGGGTCTTTGTCCTTTGGGGATGACTAACGGTGTGGGGAAACTAGCCTAAGTCTGAAAACAACCTGAAGGAGAGGGTTAGAAATTCAGATTTTTGCCCAAGGGAAGTAATGAGCAGTGACTGCCTTGAACTCGGAGGAGGCCAAACGGTGCATGCTCCTGCATGTGTGTGAGCCTGCGGGTAGCCATGATGGTAATGGGCTGAACCTCTGAAACTGTAAGTGCGTGGTGTCTCCTCATAGCAATAAAACCCTAACTAAGACAAAGGGAAAGGATTCATTTCATCTTACAGCTGAAGGTCCTTCATGAAGGAAGTCAGGCCAGGGGCTGAAGCAGAGGCTATAGAGGGGAGCTGCTTACTGACTGGCTTTCCCGTGGATGACTCAGCCTGCTTTCATGTAGAACCCAGGACCACCAGGTCAGCGGTGGTGCAGAGGACGCCCACAGTAGACTGTTCCCTCTCACGTCAGTCAGCAGAACGCCCCGCAGGCTTGATTGCAGGCAGTCTGATGGGGGCTGTCTCAGATGTCATGTTGGCCAAAGACTAACCAGGACACAGGGAGATCCAAGTTCTGCTTCTGATCCTCCTTTAATGGTGACAAGTCTCATGACGCAGAATTCTTTCCAGCCATCCCATCTCTGAATGGGGTTGACACTGAAACACCCTTTACTGATCAGCACCCAGAAAGTCCAGCACCTACCCTGATTTTTGCTGCCTTTATAAATGTGACTATTTCTTTCCGGCGGCTGTGGTCACAGATGCCTTCAGTACCAGCATTCATGAAGCTAGAGCAAGAGCATTAAGATTTCTAAGCCAGCCTGGCCACATGGTGAGGTCTTGTCCCCCCAAAACCAGGATCTAGGATGTAGTGGTACATGCCTTTAATCCCAGCACTCAAGAGGGGCGGAGGCAGGCATTTATCTGGAGATCCAGGCTACCTAGGGCTACATTGAGAGAACCGGTTTCAAAATTAAGCAAAGCAGTAAACAAAAGCCAGGTTGCGTGGGTAGACGCATAGGCAGGTGGGTGGATGGGCGGACAGATGGACGGATGGATGGACAGTCGGGCGGTCGGGCGAACAAGGTCTCACCACCACCACTCAAGTTGTTTTGGGTTTGTTTTGGTTTCAGGAGATGGATGGGCCAGGAGAGAGTGACCCCGACTTGAGACCTGCCGACCACCCTCGCTTCTGTGAGGAGATTAAAAGGAACCCTCCTTCCTACAAAGCTCACTTCACTAGAGTATTCCAGAACAAGACATTCCACGTCTACAAACTGTCCCGAAACAAGTAAAACCACAGTGCATCTACAGCTGACTGAGACGGTGTCTGAGTGAGGAGCAGGGCGTGAATGCAGGAATTGCAGCCGCTGCAGGCAACCCTGCCTTCATCCAAACCCTTCACTGCCGTCAGTCTTTTCCATCCTGTCTGTCTTTCCCGTGAGTGTTCCTTTAGCCTGATTATGTGCACCTGGCCAAGGCTGGTTGGGGATTTTGCCACCAAGGGAGTCGTGTGTGACCCTCTGGTGGCCTGGAAAATGAGAGCCTATTTAAGATCTGAAACACTTGTGATTTTTCAGTGAACCTGAGCCACTTATGAATGAATATAGTTGACGGGCTGCATGGTTCAGTTACTGATACTTCTTCACCACCGAAACCAATCGGTGGCTTTTTAAAAGCTTATTGTCCTGTCTCTTTAAAATTTTATAACATTTTCCAATGTATCATGTTTTCATGCGTGAAGAAACAAATCATGTTAGGTCTTTCTCTAAAATGCCACATGTGCAGAAGTGTGGGGCAGGCTTAGAGTATGTGTGTGTTTTAATTCTGGGCACACAATCAGGGTGCTACCGGGCCAAGTGTCATAGCACACTTCTTTAATCCCAGCGCTCAAAGCCGGGGCCGGGCAAATCTCTTGAGAGCTCAAGGCCAGCCTGGTCTACATAGTGAGTTCCGGGCCAGCCTGGGCTATGTAGAGAGACCTTGTCTCAAATAAGCAAAGTGTCCCAGGTCTCATACTAGAAGTCTGCAAGGGGCAGAAGCTGGGTAGCCTGAGCTACTGGTACAGGCGCTTTTTAAAACCCATCTGTGCTGTTTAGTCTCTCTTGCAAGTAAACTAGTTTTGCTTCATTTTTTACTCATTTCAATGTACTGGGTTTGCAAAACTTTGTAAACTTTTTTGTGTTTTTAGCCTTTGTATTTTTTCATAGACTAGGAACTTGCAACGTATGGGGGGTTTTTTAGATGCTGTGTCTGGACCCTGAAATTCAGTCTGGTGTTTTCATACCCTTGGACCTGTGGTCTCCAGTCTTCCCTCTCGGCCCCAGAGATGCCACTTTTCTCCCTAAGAGGTGACCAAGTGCCTCCAAGCCGCGCTCGATTGTAAACAGCAAAGAGGAGTGGTGTACCTGCTCAGAGTTTTTTGATAATTGCTTTTGTAATTCATTTCTAATGGTGGGGGCATGTCAAAGCTGCTGATAGAGGCATATCGTCCACTTAATTAAATCAAGAAAGCTAATGAAATCACCCTCCTCGCCTGCTCTTGCCACTTGGAAATGATTTAAACCTTTCTCCTCACCTGTCCGTGCAATAAATCCCCTTGAGCGTTGGGTCGGAGAGCACCACGTACTCTGGCGATTCGCTGTTTGGTTACCACTTAAGTAGCTTTCAAAAATGCATTTCATTGTCTCATCGGGCTCAGGGTTTTTATGCAAAACTCATTTAAATAAACCATCAACAGCTAGGTTTTTAAATTAGGCCCCTGGAACTTTGTAATCCAGCCTTTTCTGGACCCCATCATAAGGTTGGAGACCACCGAAGTTCTGGGTAACGCAGCAAGAAAACAGGATCATCAATGCCAAAACTTTAATGAAGCCAGCAACATCGAATGCCCGACACAGCTGCCAGCGCTGGTGGTGGAACATTCTGGGCCAGTGCCTTACTCTTAAGGGAAAGCAAGGACAGGAAGGCACAGTGTATCGAGACCCCGTGACTGTTACTTTGTGGGTGGGTTTGCATTTGTTTTACACGTTCCTATATGTATTCGTATCATCGCGCAGTGTTTGGCGTCTTGGTATCCAAGAGCCTCCCACTTAACTTGGATGCCCATCCTTACCAAGGTGACAGTCACACTAGTGGGCGCTGGCTTTCTCCACAGCACCACTGCTGCCAAACCATTTCCTAAAAACTGAGAAGTGCCAAACCCCGTCTTCACACAGGCGCTCTCCCGAGACACTGTGATGTGTACAGGACAAGTTTTTACTCTTGGTGAGCAAATCTTTCAGCGAATCATGTTTGATACTTTTAGCTCTGATGAGGACTTTATATAGCTTGTGGCCTTGTCATCAAGCACACAGGAGAAAAGAGGACCCACCCTTGCCTTTTGCCCCCACACCGTGCAGGCTGAAGCTGGAGCCCTGTAGGCCTCACTCCTTGCTGTTTGGGCCCTGGGGACTGTTACATCTGGGTAATAAGGGTAGGCTGTGGCTCCAGATAGAACAAGCACTAGGCTTCGCTTCTGAGTTCTCGGAAGAACCTCTAAGTACAACAGAAGTGCTCTTAATTAACGCTGCTGTGACTCCTCAGAGCTTCAAGTCTCCAGCCCTCTTGGGAGCCACCTGCTGCAATCCGGCAGGTGGCCACTGCCTTGTGTCTGCACTCCTGGTGCCTGGCTCCAGTCATGGTCCAACCCGGATCTCGGGGTTCACTTTCTGCTTCTGATTGTAAGTACAGCGCCCAACCACAAGAGGCTGCAGTGTGGCTTGACCGTAGAGTGTTTGCCTGGCCTTGCACAAGGCCCTAGGCTTGATCGCCATCCAGCACTGCAGAAGACAGGCAGGCAGGCAGGCAGAGAAAAAGAGATTCGTTTGCAAAAATGTAAATCGGATACTTTGATAAAGTGGGTTTCCCATGAAAATTGCTTTTAAATTTAACGTCTGCAGAGATGGCTTGGTAGTTAAGAGTGTATGACCCGTGCAGAAGACCCTAGTTTGATCACACGTTGGCCAGCTCACAACTGCCTGTAACTCCAGCTCCAGGGGCACCCAGGGCCTTCTGCAGGCCTCAGCAGGCACTTCACTCATGTGCCCATTCCCACACACAGACAATTTTAAAAAAGGAAAATAGTTTTTAAAAACTAAATGTGATCAGGAAAGTCATTAAATGTGGCGGGGGGAGATAAAAATGAAGGGAATGAATGAGCTTAGATCCCTCATGTGCTGGTCCTGCCTTTCCAGTATCTACACTGGAAGCTGTGTGTGTGTCTCAGAGGTAGAGAACTTGCCTGGCTCGAGTGAGGCCCTCCGTTCTGTCCCCAGCACTGGAGGAAAAACGTTCTTCCCAAATCATGTGATTGGTGTGATTTATGCAAGAAAGAACCACAGACAAGGACTCCCATGAAATAAGAGTCCCTGGCTTCTCATCGAAAGATCAGTGAGTGACATACCGCTGTCCACTGCTGGTGACAGGTCCCCCATTAACCATTAGTCAGACAGTTACTGCTCCCGTGGATGACAGATGTCCTGCTTGTAAGGACAGCCTTTGCCCCACCACTTGATTTCCGATGTGTTAGCGAAGCCTAACAACGAGGCCACCAAAGATACAAAGATATTTCCCCCAAAATGTAGCTCCTCTTTAGCCAAAGTGTACTTGAAACATTGGTTTTAATCCCAGCTGGGGACCAGAGGAAGAGCATGAAGTGTTCTCAGATCCTGTCTGCCGTATCACACGCCTACAGCTGCTCCAGCCATGGCAGCCTGTGCGTGCGGGGAGAGTGACGCTCTGTTGTCAGGTCCAGACACGGCCAGCAGCGTCTGCTGGGGAAAAGCTTACAAAGAGCATCTCTAATTTGTTGTACTGAATTGTATGGAGATTATATACTAAATAAAGCTCTTTTCAATGATCCCGGTGCCTTTTGTTGCTTTGGAGGGTGTGGTCATCTGTGCCAGTAGAGTAAATGAGCAGAGACGAGAGCACTGAGGTTCTGTTCCCTGCTCTCTCTCTCTCTGGCTCTCCTCTTCCCCCCTCTCCCATACCTGACTGTGTAGCCCAAGCTAGCCCCAAACTCAGGACACCCCTCCCTCGCCTTCCAAACACCAGACTTAACAGGGCTGCATCACCACACCCAGCCGTATAAAAGCATCTAAAGATTTACTGATTTTATGCATATGGGTTTTTTTTACCTGCACATACGTTTGTACAGTACGTTCAGTGACCATGGAAGCCAGAAGTCGGCACCAGATCCCCTGGAACTAGAGTTGTGTTTGTGAGCCATCTCGTGAGTGACGGGAAGCAAACCCTGGTCCTCCAAAAGAGCAGCCAGCGCTCATAACTGCCAAAATAAACACATAACAAACAAACAAAAGCATGGTGGGTCAGAGTATGACCAGACAAGCATGAAGATCCATATGAAAATCCAGATGCGGGAGCTGGGGAGATGGCTGGGTAGTTAAGAGCACCGGCTGCTCTTCCGGAGGACCCGAGTTCAATTCCCAGCTCACGACTGTGTGTAACTCCAGTTTCAGAGGTTCTAATATCCTCACACGGATATGCATGCAGGTAGAACACCAATGTACATAAAACAAAAAGAAATCATAAATAATTGAGCACATCTTAAAGACAAAATCAAGACACATCTGTGACTGTGTGCGTGAGCACACGAAGGGAGGGGAAACTGGGAAGGAGCCGTTGACAAAGGCGAAGACTGACAGATTGCTTTCCGAACGAACGCCACCACTTTGTGCTGCGTGATTGACAGGCGCGGATGTGTGCACATGCCCAGAAGTGCATATTCATCACGGAGGGAAGGGGTGCGGGAAAATGATTTCAGGCCCCCGCACAATAATTAGAACAGCAGTGTGCTAATTAAGACTCATAAATTGAATGAAGCTATTAGCGTTTTCTCTCAGAAGAAAAGGTGGGTTTTTCCCCAGGAAATGACACCTGTGAGCAATTATCTCTCTTATTATTGCTACTAAGATTATTTACATAAGCGGTGCTCATTTAGTGCTCAATGATGTGGGTTTTATTCCAGCACCTGATCTCACCCAGGGGGTTGTGGGTAATGGTCAGTGCAGCCGTTTTGAGGCAGCCTTCTGTATGGTGGTCTGCTGTCTTTGTGAGCAGCCGTCTTGCCTGTTTCGTCTCCGTCCTCTTTTCTTTTTATGTGTATGGGCGCTTGTCTGTGCACATGTGTGCAGTGCCAGAAGAATCCAGGAGAGGGTAGCAGGTCACCCTGGAAGGGAGCTGCTGTGGAGGTGCTGGGAATTGAACCTGAGTCCTCTTGAAGACCAGCCAGCGCTCTTAACCGCTAAACCACCTCTCCAGTCTTCACACTTCTGCACGAGCCTGTTGGGTTGCAGACACCAGGAGTGTAAGAATTTACCTAGTCCTCTGAGCCTGAGGATACCTGATGATAAAGTATTAGAAAAATAGTTTTATGATACTAACAGGAATGAAAAAGATTCCAAAGCTGGGCATGGTGATCCACGCCTGCAGTCTTAAAAGTCTCATCATTTGTAAGGCTGAGGCACAATGACCACTGTAAGTTCACATCTGCTCTGATCTGTGAGTCCAGGTCAGCCTGAACTAGTGTGAGACTGTCTCCACAGCAGAGAAGAAGAAAAACAAACAAGCAAACAAACAAAAAAACCCAAGTTTTATTGAATAAAAAGGTATGGTTGGAGGCGTGTCTCAGTGGCAGAGCCCCTGCCTAGAATCCCCCCAGTGAGGGGCTGGGGGCGTGGCTCAGTGGTAGAGCCCCTGCCTAGAATCCCCCAGTGAGGGGCTGGGGGCGTGGCTCAGTGGTAGAGCCCCTGCCTAGAA